AGTTAAGAAAGACAAAGATGGACACTTTATACTGTTAAGAGAAAAAAAAAAATAAAAAAAAAAAAAAAAAATCAGAAGAAAGGAGGGGTTGTAATCTTATTTTCAGATGCAAGCAGATTTAAAGCAACTAAAGTTAAGAAAGACAAAGATGGACACTTTATACTGGTCAAAGGAACAATACAACAAGAAGACATTTTAATTTTAAATATTTATCACCTAATTTAAATGCTCCCAGATTTATGAAACAGACCTTGAGGGGTCTGAACAACATGCCATTCCATAACACTATAATAGTTGGTGCCTTTAATGGAAGTCTGACAGAACTGGTCAGATCCTCTAAACAGAAACTAAACAAAGATACAAAGGACTTAAATGTGACCGTAGGGCAAATGGGATTAATAGACATATATAGAACACACCATCCCAAAGGTAAGGAATATACATTTTTCTTGTCAGCCCTTTGTATGTACTCCAAAATCAACCACATCCTAGGATATAAATCAAGCTTCAACAAAATTAAAAGAATAGAAATTACACCTTGCATATTCTCAGACCACAAGGCAATAAAGGTGGAGCTCAACTCCAATAAAAATGTTCATCCCTGCACAAAGACTTGGAAATTAAACAACCTTATGCTAACAATAGCTGGGTTCAGGAAGACATAAAAGAGGAAATTATTAAATTCCTCAAACATAACAACAATGAAGGCACAAGTTACCAAAACCTGTGGAATTCAGCAAAGGCAGTCTTAAGGGGAAAAGTTATTGCATTAGATACCTACATTCAAAAAATAGGAAGAGAGTGCATCAATATACTCATGAACCATTTTATGGAATTGGAAAAAGAACATCTAATCCCAGACCCAGTAGAGGAAAAGAATCAAAATTAAATCAGAGATTACTGAAACTTAAAACAAAAGAATCATTCAGAAAATTAACAAAAGAAAAAGTTAGTTTTTTGAAAAAATAAATAAAATCAATAAACCTTTGGCCAGATAAACCAGAAACAGAAAAGTAAAAAAAAACTCTAATAACCTCAATAAGAAATGACAAAGAGGAAATAAGAACAGATGCCACAGAGATACAAGAGATCATCTCTGAGCACTACAAGAAACTCTATGCCCAGAAATTTGACAATGTGGAGGAAATGGATGAACAACTGGAATCACACCCTCTCCCTAGACTTAAGAAGAAATAGATCTCCTGAATAGACCGATTTCAAGAAATGAGATTGAAGAAACCATAAAAAAAACTCCCAACAAAAAAAGCCCCTGTTCCAAATGGCTTGACACCAGAATTCTATCAAACCTTCAAAGAAGAGCTTATACTCCTACTGCAGAAATTCTTCCAAAATATTGAGAAGGAAAGAATCTTCCCCAACACATTCTATGAAGCAAATCTTACCTTGATACCAAAAACCAGGAAAAGACCTAACTAAAAAGGAGAATTTCAGACCAATTTCACTCATGAATATAGAAGCAAAAATCCTCAATAAAATCCTAGACAATAGATTACAGCTACATATTAAACAATTCATTTGTCACAATCAAGTAGGCTTCATCCCAGGGATGCAAGGCTGGTTTAACGTACTCAAGTGCAAAAATGTAACTCATCATATCAAAAGAAGCAGAAGCAAAGATCATATGATCCTCTCAAAAGATGC